GTCACCAGTGACCTCGACAGGCTCAGCCAAGGGAAGTGGGTCTACCTGAGACACACCTGAAGGAGCAGGACCCTGAGGGGGGAGGGGGTCTACCGGAGGGGGACCTGGAGCGAGGAAGAGCGGCGGGGGGGTGGGGAGAAGAGCAGTGCGGTAGGGGAAGAGACGGAAGAAAGGAACCAACTCGTCAAACGTGACGTCCTGAGAGGACAGAACACGGCGCGAGGTGGGGTGGTAAAACTGCCAGCCAGGCGCGTCAATGGTAAAGCCAAGGAAGACGCAGGGAATGGCGCGAGAGGAGAGCTTGTCCGCGGATGTATCGCGAAACGCCGACGCATCGCCAACCTCCCCCGTCCAACGCAGCGCAGGCAAGGTCTCCGGCAAGGAGACACGGGGCCAGAAGTTGAGCTGATGTGCAGCGTTCCGGACCGCAAACAACCAGAGAAAATGGGGAGCAGCTGCATGGATCATGGAGGTACGAGCCACCTCCATGACTAAGCCAATGCGACGCTCTGCAATCCTATTCTGCTGCGGGGAGGGCGGAAGCGTGAACGACTGAAGGATGCCCTCCCCGTGGCAAAAGTCCCGCAAGAGGTTGGAGGAGAACTCACCACCTCTGTCAGAGTGCAAACGCAGGACAGGAAGGTCCGTGCGGAACCGCTCGCGGAGCTGGAGACGGACACCTCGGATCCAAGGGATCAAGATATCAGGGACCTCCCCCTTGCTGCGCAAGGGGAAGACTGTGGTGTAACGCGAGTAGTCGTCAGCAACCAGCAGAAATTATCTCTCGCGGCCCTGTCCCCGGACGCGGGCTGGGCCCCACACGTCCATGTGGAGAGTCTGCAGGGGAGCAGTCGTCGGGGGAAACGAGGAGTGAGGAGCGGCGCGCTGCCGCCCCTCGACGCAAGGAACGCAGGGCGGGGCAGGCGAGGGCGGGAGGGAAGGCTGAGACTGGGGAAGACTAAGGAGATCCCTGACATCAAGGCGGGAGTGCATGCCACGAAGGCGTGGCAGGGAGGGGTGACCAAGGCGGTGGTGCCAACGGAGAGTCTGGTACGACAGGAGGCGACACGAGCAGGGGGCTGCTACCTGACCTGACGCGGACACCTGAGCAGACGCAGCAACCTGAGGAGGCGCAGTAGTCAGTGTGTACAGACTCGACCCAGGCCGACGGGTGAACGTGGCCAGGTGACGGCCAGTCCGGGAGCACGTACAGATCGCCACACGCTGGCCTCCAGGGGTAAAGGTATCAACCCATGCATCCTGAAGGACTGCGTTACTCACCAAGTTCGTCGAGAACGAGGGGAGGTGGAGACCTGATAGTGAGCCGGACGGAACTGCCGGACACGGGAGAACAGTGGAGGAACGTGCAAGAACCGGGCCCCCAGAGGGGTCAGCCAGGGAAACTGCAACGGGTCTAGTGAGTGGTGTGACTGTGGTACTGTCTCGAAAGAAGCAGCGGGAAGCACCTGAGTCAAGCGTGAAGGTGTGCAAGGCCTCAGCAGGTGCAGTACCAGAGAGAGCAGACTCACTAGCACCTAGAGCAGCAGCCTCTATACCTGGGTCTAGCACACAAGTAACAGTCACCCTCAGCACTAACAGTCAAAGCATACATGCCAGCAAGGATAGCGTCATAGTCAAGAGCAAAGATATCAACACCAGACCTAAGCAGCTCTGCCCAGCGGGGCATCTCAGCCTCATCGCCAAACTCAGTGCGCCAAGCGTCGTCTAGGCGGGAGAAGCAGCGGTGCTGGGTGTGAAACTTCCCGCACGTCTGACCAGCGCGGTCACCTGTGCGAATGACGTACGGGCAGCGAGCACTACCCCCAGACGCCCCACGCTGAGCAAACCACTCACGCGGGGCGTGAGGGTCTCACGCGGACGCTGCTGCTGCTGCCGCTGAACTGCTCCAGCCCGACCACCACCACTGCCGCCGCCACCACTCCCTCCGTCGCCACAACCGCCGCCACCACTCCCGCTGCCGCCACGACCACCACCACCCCCACTGATGCCGCCACCGCCGCCACCGACGCCCCCACTCCTGCCACCACTCCCACCGCCACCTCCTCCACCTCCACCGCCTCCACCGCCTCCACCACCACCCCCCTCCGCCGCCACCCCCACCACTCTTGCCTCCCTTGCCCTTGCCGCTGCGGCGCTTCCCACTAGGAGCAGAAGCAGCATCAACCTCCTCAGCACCAAGGAAGTCGACAGCAGCAGCAGAAGCAACAGAGGGGGCAAGGGGGGAGGGGGAGCACCCCTCAAAGAAGGGCGTGCGAGGAGTGCCACGAGTAGCACCTACAGCGACTATGCTAGGCTGCAAGGAGGTGCTTCTCGAGCAGGTCGATAGTGAGGTCTGTGGGGTGAAGGGCGAGAAAGTGGTCCCTGTTGAGAACTAACAGGAACGAATGAATGCATTGAGCAAGAATGAGGTATAAATATGCCTAACCATTATTGGGTTGTACCCCTTATGGGCTACCCCACTATAGCCTACACAATATATCTTGACATACCCCCATAGGCAAAGCGGGGGAGAACAAACGGTCACAAGACCAGTCAAGAGAAACAAAGCAAGCTCAGGGTGGATCACAAAGTCACCACACATTCTGAGCACAAGCAAAGGGCCACAAGGCCAGTTCACGTGCAGAGTTATATAAAACAAGGCAAACAGTGCAGTGATCACAACCTAGCAAGTGTAAGTATGCAGGGATATATATAGACCACAGTACAAACAAGGTCAAGAAGTGAGCAAGTGAGAAAACGTAGGCACGAGGCCTAGAGCAGTACAGAGACGCTGATGATCACCAGGCGAAAGTGCCTTGGTGAAGATATCAGCTGTGTTGGCCCGAGTGGCCACGTAAGAGCGGCTCGTTCTTGGTGACGAACTCGGCTGGAAGGGCAGCACGGTAGCGAGCGTCGATAGAGCGAAGGTGGGTAATGAGGTCCTCTACAGTGGCAAAGGAGGACAGCTCGGGAAAGAGGTAGGGCAGCATAAGGCGGCCGAGAGCTGCAGTGGCAGGGGAAGAGTAGCGAGAGACTAGAGCGTCGTACAGGGCTTTAGCAGTCTTATGCTGGCCAAAGTGAGCTTGTGCGGCTAACGGCAGGTGGTTGCGAACGGCTACGCGAGCGGCAGCGTCACGGGTAAGCCACTGTGAGCGAGCCGCACTATCAGCTGAGTCGGGAGGGGCAAGACAGGCTCTAGACGTGTGGTCAAACAGTGAAACATTGTCTTTAGAATCGCTCAGCAAGTACAGCTGCAGATCATCAAGCCACGCCTCGAACTGGATAGGACGACCCTCAGGATCGAACTGGAGAACACTGAGGGAGGCCATAGCTAGCAGAGTAGGGTGGCGCGTAGGCCAGGGCAGGGCAGTGCACAGGCAGGGCAGAGCGGGGCGCGGGCAGAAATGGTAGCGCGCGGGCTGCAAAAGGCGGCGCGCAGGCAAGCAGGAGCGGCGCGCGGCTGGCAGGGGCGGCGCGCGGCAGGCAGGGGCGGCACGCGGGTCTGCACAGGGCAGCGCGCGGGCAGGCAGGGGCGGCGCGCGGCTGGCTGGGCAGCACGCGGGCAGAAAAAGCAGGCCGCGCGCGGTCAGCAGGGCGGCGCGTGGGCAGAGCAGGGCGTGCGCGAGGCGGCGCGACGCAGGAGACGGCGGGCGCGGGCAGCGCAATATAGGGCGGGGCGTGCATGGGCTGCGCGACGGGCCGGGCAGGGCGTACGCGGGCCGTGCGATGCAAGCAGGGCGTGCGCGGGGCAGCGCGACGCAGGGCAGGGCGTACGCGGGTGGGGCGCGACGCAGGCAGGGCGTGCGCGGGCCGCGCAATGCAGGCAGGGCAGGGCAAGGCAGCACGACGGGTGGGGCAGCGCTACGGGCAGGGTACGATCGGGTGGGCCCTAACGAGAACGGTCATGGAGCAGGACCTGCTCTGAAACCATGTTAGGAACTAGCAGGAATGAATGCATTGAAACATAAATGTGGGTACAAGTACTAACCCTAATTTGGGTTGTACCCCTTATGGGCTACCCCACTACAGCCTACACACAACAAGCATCATTATAGTTTGACAAGGGAATCTGAGAGGCGTGATGGCTCACAGTCTAGTGCGAGCTCATTGTTGGGCATTAGCTTATTACCGTATTCTCCCGGACTAAACACCCCCCAATGATTGTACACCCCCGGGTAGCTTGTGCGGGGTGGGTGCTATGGGCGACCTCGTTTCTACTATACCCCCCTTTTTGGATGATTTTTTATAACACCCCCCTTTTCTTACAGATTCTTTATAATATTGGTTAACGAGGTGCAACTATGGGAGGATATCGCAAAAATCCCTCCCTCGATGAAATTTCGATGTTATCACTTTCACTTCGAATCTACCGAGATTTCCCCCCGCCCGCTATTTCACTATCGCCACGCGCCGGTGAATCTTCCGCTGCAAGTGGCCAGACAGGTGCCACATGGCATTTTCGAGGGGGTGATGATGTTCACGTCGAAACTCACATTCGCGCCTCAACATGTGATGTTAAAACGCCAATGGAAATACTCAACTTGTCTAATTAAAAAGCTCTTACACTATAATATACCATATATATGCACCCGGGTATTATGTAGCTTTTTACTATGAGAAGACATCCCCCTTTTTTTCCTGTATTTTTAGATCTACCCTAGGGTGTTATGTCTGGGAGAATACGGCAAGTGATGGTCTCAAGAGTTGGCTGCAAACAAAGCCAGCCAACTGGCACTGAATACGGTATGCCTGTGAAGGCTCCATGTATGAATCCCAACTTCTACATGGTCCATACGGTTGCCAACCATCAAAGATATCCACCAATACCACCACAAAGAGGAAAGAATGCCATTCGAGAAAATGGTACTGTATGAATAATCATTTTGTGCTTGACTCATTTGTACACATACCGGTATATTTATGCGTGCCTAGAGCAGCAACGCCCTAACGCAAACTTTAACCAACACAGACTCAGGTGAACAGAATCACTTGCTGCAGCGTCAGCGCAGAGAATAACCCTTTCCAGTGAAAGCTTGGAAGGATGGCTTCTGAGGTTCTTCCTTTTGAGGCTCCTCCTTTTTCTTTGGAGCCTGCATGCCGAGCAGATGGACTTGACGTATAGGATATGCCGAAGAAAATGGATAAATATTTATGTATGCATGTGAACCAACCAAACTTACCAAGTGCCACATTCACCATAACGCATCACCCATACATCACCACACATGAAAAAAAAAAAAAAGACCATACCGCACCACACCGCACTCGACCACGTACCCTGGGGCCCGCTCGCGGTGCTCCGTCTCCCGACCCAAACACCAGCCGTCCCTCCTTCCTTCCCCCACTCGCAGCACCACCACCAGCACCACCAGCAGCACTACTACTACCAGTGCCACCAGCACTGCCACGAGCCCCACCAGCCCCGCCTGCCCCAGATACGCCCTCTCTTGATGCTGCTGACGTGGCAGCTGCTGACGTGGCAGTGGAGGAGGGGGAGGCTGCTGGGCGGCCGTCCAAACGCCTGCCAGTGCCGACGAATGGTGTGAAGGCGGGCTCCTCGGGTGGGGGGGCTGCGTCTGGTTGGTGTGAGGTGAGAGGGGGTGTGGGAGAGGGCAGAGTAAGGGAGAGGTGGAAAGGGGGAAGAGGGGAGGAGATGGCATGAAGGCGGGCTCTTCAGGCGGGGGGGATGCGACTAATTGATTGAGATAAGAAAAACAAGCGAGGGAGTGAGGGAGAGGGACGAAAGCAGGAAGGGAGGTGGAGACATGAATGGCATGAAGGTGCACTCCTCGTGTGGGGTCGCTGCGTGTGGTTGGTGTGAGGTGAGGAGGTACATGGGGGAGTGTGGAGAGGGGCAAAAGAAGGGAGGGTGGGGGGAACGAATGGTGTGAAGGCGGGCTCCTCGGGTGGCGGGGCTGCGTCAGATTGGTTGAGATAAGAGAAACAAGCGGAGGAGTGTGAGAGAGGACAGAAGTAAGGGAGGGTTGTGGAGTGGGGGAGGGGAAAGGCGGGGGGTGGTTGTGAAGGTCGGCTCCTTGGGTGTGGGAGGTGTGTCTGGTTGGTGTGAGATAAGAGAAACAAGCGAGGGAGTGTGGGAGAGGGCACAAGTAAGGGAGGTGGGGAAGGGGATGGGGGGTGGGAAGGCGGGCTGCTCAGATTGGCGTAAGAACAAGTGTGGGGGAGGCGGGGAAGGGGAGGGGGAAGAGAGAGTGAAGAAGTGCTTCCAGATAGGCTTGTGCGCCTTCACAGTGGAGCGGAGCGGAGGGGCGAAGCCCACCTTGCAGTCCGTGTCGATGGTGGCCATGGACATGGCCACACCCGGGCAGTGGGCACGCATCCAGAGAAGGGACGACATCCCTCACCACACCTCCCACCTACCTGTTCCCTCTCTCTCTCCTCCCACATACCTGTTTTCCGTCCTTCCACTGTACACATTCACACGCCTTGACACCAAGGGAGGAGCCAAGTCCACCTCGCACTGCGTCTCCATCATGGAGTGGACATGGCTGCACCTGGGCTGGGCACAAGTCCGGTCTGGAGGAGCTGCACGCCCATTCCATTCCACACATACCACATCACCCCTCCTCTCACCCTCTCTCTCGCCTCCCACATACCTGCTTTGCCATCTTTCCCAGTGCTCTTCATACCTGCTTTGCCATCTTTCACAGCGCTCTTCATACCTGCTTTGCCATCTTTCACAGCGCTCTTCATACCTGCTTTGCCATCTTTCCCAGCGCTCTTCATACCTGCTTTGCCATCTTTCCCAGCGCTCTTCTTCCCGCCAGCCTCACTGCCACCACCAGCACCGGCAGACGTGGCTGCTGCTGCTTGACTGGCCACGGCAGGGGCTCTGGGCGGCTCCACATAATCGAGGGGCGGGGCGAAGTCGACCTCACAGTCGGTCTCGATGATGGAGATGGCTGCCCCTGGGCGCGCGTCCACCACGTCTATGAAGTAGCGCTTGTTGTTATACGCCACCATTATGCTCTCCCCTTTCGTCAGGCAGGAAAACGACCGCAGGGTCATCTCCAGGCTGAAGGAACATGCAGGGGACACAAAAAGAAAGGAAGGAAGGGAGGGAGGGTAAGAACACAGGGCACCTGGGCACGCGCCCAGCACGTCTATGAGGTAGCGCCTGTTGTTGTACCCCACCATGATGCTCCCGCCCTTGGTCGGACAGGAGAAGCTGCGAAGAGTCATGTCGAGACTAAAAGAGCACGTACATACGCAGGAGGGAGGGGGTGGGAAGGGAGGTTGAGCCCATGGTGCACATGGGGCGTGAGTCCAGCATGTGGAATGAAGTAGTGCTTGTGTGTTCCATGGCACCATCATGCTCTCCCGAGTAAAGCTTTATGAACCAAATCAGCTTTTATTCGGTCAATCACTGACCACCCAACAATCTTCCAGAGAGATGAGTGAATAAGAGTTGCTGATGTCATCAGCCAGGGGAAGCTGCTGCTATTCTAGAGCATAATCATGCTCTCCCCCTTGGTCAAGCAGGAGAAGCTGCAAAAAGTCTTTCTGGGGATGGGATGGCAGGATGAGGCAAGGTGAAAGGAAGATGACGACATGGCATGTGAAAGGAAGACGACGACATGGCATGTGAAAGGACTGTTGAGGCGCCGAAGCCTTAAAAGGCATGATAAACGGCCTTGGGGAGTGACAAAGCCAATCACATCCACAATCACAATAAGACATCTCTTACAATCACAATAAGACATCTCTTACAATCACAAGTAGCACATCTCTTACAATCACTCTCCCCACAGAAATAAACCCATTGCTTACTGTCACACAAGCATACCCCACAAGTAGCACATCTCTTACAATCACTCTCCCCACAGAAATAAACCCATTGCTTACTGTCACACAAGCATACCCCACAAGTAGCACATCTCTTACGATCAATCACAACCCTCAGATCCACACTCACACGGCCTTGGAAATGTCTGTCCAGAAAGTCCACGGTTGGTTTAAGGTTTACAGTAGGGCTTTACGTTTCAAGGTCAGGGTTTTGGCTGTAGCTTCACGTAGGTGCTCTTGGGAGGGTGGTGTTACCCCATATAAGCACATCACTTACCATTACAGTCACAACCCCTATAAGATTGCTACTCACATAGCTTTGTGATTGGAGATGTCAAGTCCTTGCTGTGTGGCTGCAGCTTCACGTACGTGTCCTTGGGGAGAGTGGCACTACTGCTTTCCCCTACCAATAAGCACATATCTCACACAATCACAGCCGCACTCACTCACACAGCTTTCCCTCCCACCTCCCATCTACCACCCACACGGCCTTGGGGTTAAAATTATCGAGGAAGTCCTTGGTGTGTGGCTGCCTGCAGCTTCACGTAGGTGCCCTTGGGGAGAGTGGGTGTGGGCGCTACCACCCCCCCCTTCCCCCCAAAACAAGCACATCCCTTACAATGACACTCGACTCACACGGCTTTGGGGTTGGAGATATCGAGGAAGTCCTTGGTGTGCGGCTGCAGCTTCACGTAGGTGCCCTTGGGGAGGGTGGCGTTTCTGAATCGCACTATGTCGCCCTCCTGTAGCAGCAGATTCTGCATCATCTGGAGATGAAGGATACAGAGTGGCAAGGGAGAAGATACAGAGGGAGGGTATTAGCAGGTGACCTGTAGATTGACTCGCAATGGCATTGTGTCCCCCTTCTGTGGCAGCAGAATCTGCATCATCTGAAGATACAGGAGATCAAGGGATGTGAGTGAGTGGTATGGTAGCAGCAGGTTCTGTGCAGCAGACACAGAAACTTTACCCACTGCAAAAAGCCCTACCCAATACGGCTAGCCTTAACCAGTTAGGCAAAGCCTAATCAACACGGCAAGCCATACCCAATATGGCACGGCGGCCATATTGGTCATTTGCAATGAACTCCAGCATGCCATCGTGTTGGTTAACCGTGACTTACCCTGTATAGCAGACCTTGCCCAAAATGGCAAGCGAACCCGATATAGGAAGCCTCACCCAGTATGGCATGTACACGTAGCCCTCCTCTGCAATGAACTCCAGCACGCCGCAGTGCGACGTGCGATTGGCCGCTGTATTGTGCACCTCGAAGAGCATGGGGTAGTCTATGTGCAGCGACGCTGGTGGGGTGCAGTGGGGGGGGGTGTGGAGGAGTGGAGAGTGGAGAAGATGGGTTGTGACTTGGGATGAGCATGCGCAGTGCACCTCAAACCGCATGGGGCAGTCTATGTGGAGAGAGGCTGGTGGGATTGGGAGGATGGGGAGGAGTGGAGAGCGGTACAGATGGGTTATGATGAGCGTGTAGCGTGCGTGCGGTTGGCCGTCGCATTGTACACTTGAAACAGCATGGGGTGGTCTAAGTACTGCTGCTGCGCTGAGCACAGGGAGGCTGCTGCGCTGTGCACCTCAAACAGCTCAATGTTCAGTGAGGCTGGTGGGGTGCGGGGGGGAAGGGGTGCAGAGCGGTACAGATGCATCTCAAACAGCATGGGGTATTCTATGTGGAGGGGGGCTGGTGAAATGGGGGGGAAAGGGATGAGGAGCCGTACAGAGGGCTGATTGATTCTCTAATGGGAACCTTGAGTAGCATGGGTTAGTGTATGTGAAGCGAGGCTGGGACACAGGGAGAGGACGAGGAAGGGGAGAGGGCAGAGTGGTGAAAAATGGATGTAATAAGATGGCAAAGGAGCCTGTGCTGCAGAATTACCGAGCATACTTATAGCGGGTATGGCGAAATTACCAAGCCTGGTGGGAAACAAAGCAGACTTAAAACGGGTATGGCGGACTTACCAAGCCTGTCGAGGGCAGAGGGAGGCATAATGACTGATGGGAGGAGCAGGGTTGCATGGAGGCATGGATGGCCCCGTTTGACATGGGCAGGCAGGGGGCGAGGAAGAGACAGGCGGGGAGAGGGGGAGACGGGAGTGGCGAGGAAAGGGGGAGGGAGGGGGTTCATGGGCAGGGTACGAGTGGGAGGAAGATGAAGGTAGCAGAAATGTGAAGTCGCTTGATTACTTATGCAATTACTACGGGGTTATGGACGATGGCTCACAGAAAGGAGGGGAGAGGGATGGGGGAGAGAGGGGAGCGGGAGGGGGATGTTGGGCACGATACCAAGTGTGAAGTGGCTTGATAACTTATGCAGTAACTATGGCGTTATGAACAGTCACTGGTAGCAACAACGAGGTTATTTTTAAGGAGCCTTGAGCATCATATCATGCAGTAAGTGCGGGGTTATGAACAATGGCTCGGAGCAGCAACACCACACCACAGACAGGTAGCTATGGCAATGAGAGAATGCAAAAAGGGAAGAGGCGACGTTGGGGAAGTGGGGGGGTTGAGTGCGAAAGAAGGGGCAACCGACAATCACCCTCATCGCCCAATCAGGGATGTGAGTCATGAGTGATAGAGGCAACCGCCAAACACACATACAGACAACCCCTTCCCCGCACAGACTCCCCTTCCCCGCACAAACTCCCCTTCCCCGCACAAACTCCCCTTCCCCGCACAGACTCCCCTTCCCCGCACACACACCCCTTCCTTCCCACACACCCCTTCCTTCCCACACACCCCTTCCTTCCCACACACCCCTTCCTTCCCACACACCCCTTCCTTCCCACACACCCCTTCCTTCCCACACACCCCTTCCTTCCCACACACCCCTTCCTTCCCACACACCTTTATCGCCATTCTCCAAATGAGCCTGCCAGCAGTGCGCACATGATTGCGATGAGAGGGAGGGTGGGGTGTGGACGGACGGGGGGGAGAAAACAGGCGGAAGGGAGAGATGAAGAGAGAAAGAGAACACCGCACAGCAACCCATCGCACCACTCCGCACCGCAAACATCTATGAACGGGACAGGGACGTGAAAGATGTGCTCGAAGGAGCTTCGCCTCAATGCTCGTATCACACCGTATTGCGCTCCCCTGTCATTAGAGCGAGACCGCACCTTACTGGTGAACGAGACTGGTTACACGAGATACCTCTACACGAAGTGGCTTTAGGACGTCTCGAAAGTTCGTCCGTCAGATCAGAACTAAACAGCATCACCCACCATATTTATGAACACACGGGATACAGATGGAAGCTCTGCTCGAACGAGCTTTAAGGCGCTTCATACTGCACCGAACCCCATCGCACCACACTGAACCACACCTTATCTATGAAGGAGACAGGGTACACGTGAAAGCTCTGCTCGAAGGAGCCCAGAGGCTGGCCCATGCCCCCAAACGGCGGGAAATACTGCCGTGGAGGAAGGGACAGAGAGGCGGGAGGGAGGAGGAGGGAGGATCGGGAGGGGGGTCGAGGAGAGGGGGAAGGGAGGGAGGGGAAGAGGAGGGGAAATAGATACATCACCGAGATAATACCGAGATCGCATTAGGATTGAGGGTACGGCCGGATTCGACCACTGTAACTGCCAGTCTTCGCGTGCTTAGCAACGCAACTGTGACTGCGGGTCACAAAACGATGAATATATTGGCTCTTAACTACATCGTGCGGGTTACAAAACTAAACAGTGTGAGATATCCCTGTGAGTTCCAAAACACGCGTGGTCCTTACCATGGGAAGAATAAACGCTGACTGGTTCTACGAGTCGCGTAATCCTGACAAGAACGGATACCTTATTACAAAGAGTAATTACTACCTCTTATGCCATCTCGGAATCCCGACAAAACAAAAGGCTAGTAATTACGTTTCTCAGACCAAGAGCGAGGGCAACTAGGACGGAGAATAGTCTGGAAGAAGGGTAAACCTAATCGCCTTACCATGATCAAAGATTGACGTTAATGATCAGAATTTGTTGATGGTGAAGATTTGCTCTAACGAAATCCGTGACACGCGTTGGAACGAAAAATCTCGTAGAACTAAGAGAAAGAGAGAAAGCGGTTGCCAAATATACTGTCAAGGACCTCTTTAGATCACCCCACGAAGCTTCGTTACAATTCACGTAGTTCTCCTACTCTATTCGTAAGGCTGGTCGCGAACTTTGCACGACCGCTCTACAAATTGACACACAAGTTTATCTGAAGGTACCTTTAGCTGCTAGCTGAAGGTGCTCATGGGCATGACGAGGAAGCAAAGAAACAGATTAGGGCGTATAGCCTTTTCCACTATTAGTCGTCCGGAGGATGACTCATCCGGACAGCAGCTGGTTACCGGTTTTGCTTTCATCTTGCGAATCGTTTCGTGAGGGCAATTGATAGCGCAGTAGTACAGACCGCTTATGCAACGTCGCGCCCAAAATAGGCCTGCGATTCCGTCCGGGATAGATAGTCAAACCCAACCGACAACGTCAAAATCTCATTGCCGAACGAACGAATTGCGACATTTCACGAAGATATGTTACATGGTGTTTGAAATTTAAAATTCGAAAGCGTGAAAAAAGTTTCATGCTTGTCGTCCGGACGAGGCCTGGTCCGGACAAAGCATTCCGAATGACGAGTCGGACGGTTTGTGAATATTTGTGATTCTCGAAAAGTTACACGCCCTCAGGCTGGACAGGACGGTAGAATTCTCCTCCGCCAAACACCCACTACGAACAATACAGGCGTGGCTCCATTTAGATTTTTTTTCATTTTTCCGGACGGTTCTCTTATTTGGTACAGATATCGTCGTTTATAGTCCGACGTGAAGACACGCCGACAATATGGCAAAACTTACAAACCCTGGCATGGCTGTGATCGGCGTGCTGTGTGTTGTGTGCACGCCGCAGAGCTATTCTCCGAGTGGTGCTGCCGTGTGGGCTGGGGGCCCAAGCGTGAACGCGGCAGGGGAGTGTCAACGGGAGTGTTGTTTGGCCCCGTCCTCGCTTGGGCGGAGCCGACCTCGTGGTCGGGTGTGCGGGGGACGCAGCCGATGTGCAACAGTGGGCGAGCTGGGCGACAGTGCCACTGCGAGGGCGCCGACTTCGGAGGGCGCCGAGTTCGGGGTGGTCGACCTGGTGAGGACGACCTGGCATGGTGCCGACTTCCGGCCGACGACTTGGCAAAGTCAGCGGCCCAGTTCCGAAGTGGTCGACGAGAGGACGCCGACCAGGGGTGACGCCGACCAGGGGTGACGCCGACTAGGGGTGACGCCGACCAGGGGTGACGCCGATGTGGCGGTGTCGACCTGGTTGCCCGGTCGACAGTGTTACCCGGGCGACGGTGCGGAGGTGTGCGAACGTCGCCGGGGTGGCTTCTGCGAGACCGTCCTCGGAAGTGGTATCCCGTGGTCGACGTGGCTGGTGGGCGCAATAGCTGACGTGGACTTTGGCAGGCGTCTGCGCTGTGCTCGTGATAGGGCGTGGAGCACCAATCGACCGTGCGCACCTGCGAAGCAGGTGCACCCTTGTCCTGCGAGTGCAACGCTGTGCAGCCGACTTGCTGCAGCGTTGGCGCACCGCGAAATTGCAACGTTGGCGAGCCGGATCCGTACACTGCTGGAGCGCGGTCGACCAAGTCGTGCTGGCACGCGGTCGACCATGCTGCGTTGGCTATCGACCAGCAGTTGTGCTAGCTCGTATGTAGTCTTGCATGCCAATATTGTTGCTACCATTGTTGTCAACTTTTCCTAGTGAAACTCTTGCCAATTTTCCCCGTGAACTAGCAAGCAGTGTGTGCACAAGGAAAAGTCTAAGGAACGAACGCTACGATCACCCTTACACCCGTGCCTAGCCCGTAGTCTAGCTCTCGTTGATAGAGTGATTTCTGCACTGATTCGTGCAATGATTCAGTCAAGCTGCAAAATTTCTCGCAAAAAAGGGACTGTTGAGGAGGGGCTACACTTAGGCGATATCGGAAAATTCTGCTTATGGGGGAAAAGGGATTTTTTTAGTGGGGGCCTCTAAACCAGAACATCTGTACCAGACGATCCTAATAGCGAGGACAGGACTTGTCCGAATTCTCATTTCGGAACTTTGCCCCGTCCGGGTATTTCTTTTTTCAGTGTTTTGAATTTCCCGAGGTACTGTAGCCTCGTTAGAGGCACTGTAGCATGGTTACACAATTTACGATATCTTTTCTGCAGAATTCATGCGCCAATCTTGATTTCAGATTTTCATAAAATTCCGCGCGCCAATCTCTAGTCAGTGGTGTTGCACCATCCGTTTGGTTTCTGAACTGCCAAGGGTTCAGATTCTGAACCGTTGAAAGGAGGGAAAAGTGACACCACGGTTCGGATTGTTGGCGACGTCGCACATACTTTCACGAACTCTGCTACGAAACCGTGCGACGCCGGTAACCCTTCGTCGATTCGAACCGTTGACGGTTCGTACCGTCGGGGGCAAGATGGAGCCACGCCTTAAGCACGAGCAGTGGCCAGCACCTCTTTTCCGCTCATTAAAAGGCTTGCATAAAATATGTATACATATATATGCATCTTAACAAATGAAAACAGGGAAAACAACGCTCCATATTCACGTCTCCAAATGTCAACATGCGATCAATCAGGTAACTCATCCCCTCGAGCAGAGGGGCCATCGCCTTTATCATAGGAGGAGGGCCAGACAGCAGCACGAGCATAACCGAAAGTTTATACCGGCATTCACGAAGATATCGCTAAAGTACCGCATGAGCTCATATAGAGCACGCGCACTTCCCAGTATCGGGATATGCCCATATAGGAGCATGCAATAATGTGGAGGTTTGTCAACAGTCGAGAGGTGACCTTCGACAGTTTGACCAACCACCCAGGAGGTTACAAATTGGAGGTTACGAGCAACAACGAACTAACCGCAGGCATCAGAATAGTCAGAGTTGTTGTAGCGATGCCTGGTGAAATAGTTAAATAAGGGAATGAACCCCTCAAAGTATATGGCTAGTTAGGATTATATCATTTAATATATTGCATCTTATCATCTTGTCAATTATATTCCTCATGAGCAAGGTCTTTAAAGGCTTCCACTGACTTACTTCTTTGCACACTTATCCTGTCCAAATCGATCCTCAAGTCATTCTAGCATGGTATGGGAGCCATTTTGGATAGTAAGTGCTACTAGAACAAGTTCTTCCATTGAACATCTTATCAAGGCGAACAATACTACATCTACATAAAGCCAGGTGGTCACTGCGGATGTTGATGGGAAATGGCCCCGCCCTAACTTGGACAAAGTCGACTGCACAGTCGAGAACACGGAATGTGCTGCGGGCTGCTGTCAGTGGTCAACGCCGACTTGGGCGAGGCAGTCGACAGACTTGGTTGACCTCCTCGAACTACTGTGAAGCCGCTGACGGAGGGAAGTCGGCGGCCGGCTTCGACTTGTGTGGTCGACGATAGTGCTCGTTGGCATGAGGACGCTGGTGGACATTACCTAGTCGACTGAGTCACCGGGGTGACGGACTTCTGTGGGGGGGCGCGGACGTCGCCCAGATGGTTTTGGCGAAGTCGACCAGCGGGCTAGTATCCCGAGGCCAACGCGGTGCATCGGGCATAGGTGACGGCACGTGGCCGACTTGGCACCCACGTGGTGCGCGGGACGAGGCACAACATGCTCGACCGTCGACCTACGTATGTGTGCCTGTGCATTTAGTCACCCGCGGCTGCAACGCTAGTAAGTCGCCCTGGTGCAGCATTGGCAAGCCGCCTTGGTACAGCGCTGGCAGGTCGCCGACTTGCAACGTTGGCAAGCCGCCTCCAAGCTGTGTTGGCACGATATCGACTTGCTTTCATAGCTAGTAGCATAAGGTTTAGGTAGGTGCCTAGGCTTAGAGCCGAGGCCAATGGTATCGGGAATGTTGTGGCGATTGACGAAATGTTGTAGTTCACTATAGAACTCAAGGTACATATACCTTGAGGTGCACCACTTACAGAAGAACTACACTATAATTTCACTACAGACAGATACATAAAATAGATATGTATATCTATTTCGATTCTCCCCTTATCTGCCTGAAGTGAATAACCATGTGCAGAGCTTCCCATTGTCAAACATTATATGTTTATATGGTTGTAGGCTGTAGTGGGTTACGCCTTAGGGGGTACACTGGATTAGGGTTTCCTATTTGTATCCAGCCTTCTGTTAGTACAGTCATTCCAGTCCGTTCATTCTGACATGGTTTCAGAGCAGGTCCTTCGCTAGGACCTAACTTCTCTTCGGGCCCACCACTACCTACTACCTACTACCTACTAGCGCCCTCGTGCGCCCTACTATCGGAGTGCGCTTTAGCGCCTCCCCCCTTAGCGCCCTCGAGCGCTTTCTTTTTTTTTTTTTTCCCGGCCCCGTCGATCGCGCCCCGCTTAGAGGCCCCGCGGCCCCGTCGCGC